GGCCTTCGAATCTGGACGGATTGAGTGCTATCCTTACGTGTCAATGGTGGCCCGTTGTGCTCGAGATCCTGTTTGATTCCTCATTTTCCAGACTTCCCGTGTTGAGGTGACGTGAATGGAATCATGGGGGCCGGCATATTTCGCACATTTCGCTTTCCTGTGTAGAGTGGTTGTTAAGATGGAGGGAGGAGGAAGGCAAGATGCGTAATGGCACAACATGAATCGTTTGATGAGATGTTCCCAGGATCGGTTCACCCCATCTGGAACTTCAACCCGACAGCGAGGTTCAAGTTCGCCGTCGTGAGTGAGCCGCTGGCGCAATAAAGTCTATCTATTCAACATCCCTGTCTGTGCCGGAACAATGCCGAACTTTCTTCGAGAAGTTTTCGAAGAATCTTCTCCAGTCGAGGTCCAATTGAAGTCTGAGGTGCCGCCGGCAAGCAAGGTAAAAATGTGATGCCGAATTCAAGCGGAGATTGAGCGGAGTTGACTTGGAGGATGCCGATCGGTATTTAAGCTCCGGCTCAGTGCCGGTCAACCCGGCATTGCGTATTGGGGACCTCGAGATCGTCTCCAACATTATTCAACTTTTAAAAACAGCCAAAAAATGGCCTGGGCAGAGGTAAAAGGAATGATGCAAATTTGGTCTTATGTGCACTGTAAATAACGCCACACGCCGCGTCCTTGCACGTGCAGGTCTTCCCCTTCGGCATCATGCACCCGACTCTGAGCCTCGTCAATCTCGCGCAGCTCGGTCCCTCAGACAGGGTGAGTGTCATTGTATTTAACGTTGACTTTTCCTCACCTCGATCTCCCAGGAACTCGCGACATCCGCTGCGAACGGGTCCCTGAAGTCTTTGCGTCGAGTAGCGGAACTTGTCGCGACAGACCATTCTCCGCTCCATTCTCGGCCTGATCTTTTCGGCCCCGTTTTCTTTGCCAATCTGGATCCCCTGGGAATCCCCAGTCCAGATCAGCTCAAATCTAACTCATTCCCCGTCGACTCTCCGATATTGCGCGCCGTCCTTTCACTGAAAGCCCTATCTCTTCGTAATGCGGGCAAAACACGGCTCCTCTTGGCCCCGGAATCATTCAAGGATGTCTGGCCCCGCGCTTGGAGATGGATACAGGTCCTTGACCAGTATCGCGAGGACCTCATGGACGCGAATCCTCTCTCCGAAATGGACTCATACGCAACTTTTTTCCAGATCATATCGCGTCTACAGGACGATAAAGAAACGAATGATCTCATCTACGCAACTCCTGGTGTCCGGGTCGTTGTAACAAGGGCCTGGGCTCTATTCCTGGATAACCAAAGCAATTCCGAGGCTGACCTTGTCGGAATATGTCGGTTCGTCGCGGCGGACACTCTCACCTCGGCAAATACCGCCGAGATCTTGGTGGGCGCCGGTAGACGGGACGAAGACCTCGCGAGACTCTTCGTTTCGCATTTGCACTTCGCCGTTCCCGGGCCTGATCATATCGCATCCGGCGAGACTCTGGTACTCCTCGGGGGTGTTATTCGCCTGTTGAAAGGGATAAACCGCAATGAAAACTGGCGCAATGCGCTCCTATCCCAGGGCATCATTAAATCCCTGGTCCTCACCATGGTCTGCCTGTCTGTACCATCCGTCGACGGCACAGAGGACATGTTGGATGACTGTTTCATCATTCTCGTCAGAATACTTGCGGTGGCCCGGCAGCATCAGCATCTCGTCGATGCGTTACAGGCCGGACTTCTTCACGCGATTGTGCTGTCCCGTTCCGCCAACCCCAGCGTGGAATCTTTTCTGACCTCCATTCTACCTCGCGCCACGGTCTACTACTCGGCGCTGAAGCAGATCGACGAAGAGCTCGAAAAAGTCGAAGATCTCACCCAGACTTCTCGTTTCCGCGCTTCAGAAGTCTTCCAGCCCTGGACCAAATTTGTTGAATTCACAGGAAGTCGTTTCGTTGTCATGAGACGCTACGACAACGGTGATTGGTCCTCCGGGAGTAATTGTGGGAATTCGGCCGTACGTACTCTTCGCTGAATTCCATCAACATGGTTACTCAAGGATTTCAACAGTGCGGCAAGTGGATCACCAAAAGGGATCGGAAGCGCTGTACCCGCTGCGAAACTTCTCTCTACTGTTCCGTTGAATGCCAAAGACTTGATTGGCAAGCCGGGCATCGAAAAGTGTGCGGGCCTCTACGATCGCTATTCCTCAGTGAGACTTCTCTGATTTCTATTTATTGCTGTCACGACACTAACTATAGATCCCATGTCGCCAGAAGATCCCGAACTCACCAGCACGCGTGACAGATCGTTCCTCACGGCCCTGGCGCATTATGATTATCTGACGCTGAAAGCGACCTTGTACGTTCGGCGCATTTCCATGATGAACCATTTGCCAGGCCGAGGCTGGCCTCTGTGCACTATTCTAGACTACACCAAGGGGGCGGTCACGACAAATATTGTGGTTGCTACCTCCCTCGGGCCCGTTTCCCAGGCCTTCCAGACGCTGTGGGATGAAAATGCCGCCCGCGCTTCACGCAGCGGCGGCAGAATGCATCTAGTTGGTTTGCGTTTGCCCGAGGGAGACGGCACACGATATTGGGTACTTCCCATGTGGTCGCAGACTTCGGTCCAGGACGAAATAGAAGACATCGCCAACAGCCTTCCCAAGGGGTTGTCCCTGGGAAATTCAGGATATGAACCCGAGCTGCGACGGAGAGTCGCTGCTCTGCTTAAACAGGACGGTTGCGATGCCAAGCTTATTTAGTTACCTAGTAATCATAATCCTCTGGGCTCTGAAATGCAACGAAACAGGATTCCGCGACATATTGAGTTCAAGTGGTACTCAACTCATCGAGTTCAATAGCTAATTGTATTTTTATTATTTTACTCCGGCCTGGGCATTCATGAAGAATAAGCGACCACGGCCCATGATATCGATCACTCTGCAATAGAATGTATATCCCTAAATTCCTGCTCGTGCAACTCCCCGTCAATCTCAGCAAACAGATCAAACGTCATATCTGCCGCGTCAATTTGCACCGAATAAAATTGTATTCAGCGGCTGGCGGGATGCTTGCGTCCAGCATCAAGTTCACGGAGGACGTGAGGTAGACACCAGTGGCCGTCACACGCTGGTAGGTGTTGATATAGAAGCCCGAGAGAACAGAGTCGTTCCGGAGCTGTCGGGCTAATATCAGTCCTGCATTCCGCACCATAAATGAAGGTCGTATACCCCATCAGCGATGTGGAAGCCGGAAAAGCCGGCCGTGCTGCAGTCGGGAGAGAATAACGCTCGGTCTTGCTCTATCACATACCCCGAGCCACCGTTGTTTGATGGGTGTCGCTGAGCACGCACATATGGTGCTGTCGCGATCGGAGTGATTTGGGGAGTAGGATCGTTGGAGAGGAGCTTTAATGGATGAATGACCATCAGCTACAGAAATTTCAAGAAGGAAGAGCTCCTACCCACATGGTGAGGGTGAGTACAAGATTGCCACTGGCATAAAATGGCCGTGAATACTTGGGCCGTCCACTGCTGTGGAAATTAATCCCTGAAATCTAATAGTTACTGCCAAATAGGTAGATGAATTCCTTCCCAGATATTCGGGGGGCTTTCATCAGAATGGAATAAGAGTTTCTGAAGGGAAGAATCACGGATGTAAGAGGCTGGAGTTGATTCCGAACAAGTTAGTACGTTGAATACAGGGATGTGGCCCAGTGAGCTTGGTGCTCCCCTAAAGTTGCTGTACGTGCTCCGAGGAATTCAGTGGTGCACTGGGCGGCAAATGGATAGTAACACAATGCTGGTAATGCAAGGGAGAGTAGGATGGAGATACCGTTGAATATGGTCAGGCACGAGGTGGGTTGAAAACCCAAATTAGATGTCACCTACTATATCAGCGTTGGATGTAAATCAAGATGCACATCATATGAGTAGAATTCTCCTACACAAAGTTTGGAGTTGCAGGTTAAGTCATCAGGATGTAAAAGTGGGTCTTGACACAAGTGAACGTGTAATGGAACTACTTAGTTCCCACCCAATTCGCTCTGAACCGGTAAGCGCCGGCAAAGCGGTCACCACGTGATCGCATCAGTAAGTAATTCCCAGCAGCATAGAGTATACACATTCACCGTGACACCAGCAAATTGAAAGCCAGACTCAAAAAAGCTGCTTGTTGTGTGAGAATACACGGTTGTGGGTGCGGTACCCACTTCTATTCGGGTGAAGGGAGTTGCGGGAGGATGTGAATCCCTGTGCGCGGGTTGCACATCTAGCGGCCTCCAAATCTGAATGGATAAAGTACTATCCTTACGTTGTGGTGGAGAGCCTGTTTGATTCTTCATTTTCGAGACTTCCCGTGTTGAGGTGACGTGAATGAAATCATGGGGGCCCCGCACTGGCACATTCCACACATTTTGCTTACCTACGAAATCAAGAGAATACCCATCGGACAAATTTCCCCAGCGTTAACTAACAACCAGAAACACAAGCAGATGAGCTTGGAATGCTTCAGACTAAAGTCCGTTATTCCAAACACTCCAAAAAAAAACAGAAAATCAAGGGCCACCCAGCATATTCCACACCTTTGACATCCACAAGTGCAATGCCTTAAAAGTTAAACTTACTGTAATGGAGTCAAGTCAATTGCATCCGTAAGTATTACACATGGCCAGTGTGGGGGAAGCAGTGCAGCGGCTGGAATTTTACACTGCGGAGCGCGGCGTCCAAGTCACCCGTACCAACCCAAGCGTACGGAGGATTGGGGCCAGCCAAGCATGAGCATATTCCACACCCTCTGAAATCAAGAGAATACCCATCAGACAAGTTTCCCCAGCAATACCTGGCTAACCACCAACTAGAAACACAAGCGGATGAGCTTGGAATGCTCATTACCCCAAACGTTCCAAAAAAAAAGAAAATCAAGGGCCGCCCGGCATATTCCACACCTTTGACATCCACAAGTGCAATGCCTTCCAAGGTACTGTGAAGTTATCTGATGGCACTGTGGCGGAGTGGTTAACGCGACAGATTAGAATCTGGTACGTAATTGCATAATGGGTTCATCTGTTCCTCTTGTAGGGCGCATGTTCGAATCATGCCAGTCTCGGTCTTTTTACCTTTTTTTTACCTTTTTTTTTTGTAGTATCCCGTTCACCGATGACACCCACCCGTTCCAGGTGCCTCCAACTTCAACCTAGTGGAAACACCAAGAAACATCTAAATAAATATGTTCTCGACATATTCAATTTCCTCACTCACGACGGTCATTTCTGACTTTCAGAGTTATATGCCCGGACTTACAGAGGACGCCGCTGGACAGCCCGTCCTGCAGCGATTGCCGTCGTGATCTGATGATTGCACCTAGTTAGATATCGCATGTTGGCAATACCCGCCGAATCAGCAACCCCCCTATCCACTGGATTTCACCGGCCGTCCATAGCTCATCCGCCCGTGTCCAGTGCATTAAATTTAAATTGTTGTTTCATTTTCATCAGCAATACATATGCTCGCTGACAACCGGCAGCTACCAGTGTTTTTTCCTTTCAGCGGATATTCACCCTGTTTTGAAGGATATCAGACAGAGTTCAGTGGATATTCGGCAGTGAGCAGTGTCTGTTCAATGGATATGACTGGATTACAACATCTTCCACTGTACTTTGGCAGATATCCACCATGTTTTGAAAGATATCCAACGGAGTTCAGTGGATATTCGGCTGTGGACAGTGTTTATCTGGGCAATGTTCAATGGATATCTGCTGAAGTACAGTGTCTTACCAATGTACTTCAGCAGATATCCACCAGGTTTTGAAAGATATCCGACGGAGTTCAGTGGATATTCAGTGGTCAGTGTCTATCTGGGCAATGTTCAATGGATATGACTAGATTTACAATGTCTTTCCACTATACTTTGCTGGATATGTACCACGTTTTGAAGGATATCCAACAGAGTTCGGTGGACAGTGTCTATCTGGGCAATGTTCAATGAATATGACTGGATTTACAATGTCTTTCCACTGTACTTCGGTGGATTTACAGTACATCCGTGGATATATCATATCCAATGGATTTCACAATGTAATCAACAAATTGAAGTAGATATGTTAGTTGTTTACAAGGGACCTATGAGCTGACTTCTCGGGGAGATGTCTGGTGAACGACAGCGAGGTGTTTGCCAATCCGGCGGACACGGTGGACGTGGGTGGACAGGGGAAGGATATCTGGTGGAATCACCTCAGAAATCCGACGATAGCCAATGGCGTGGGCCGGTCCCCACATAATACACGACTTTCAGTGCTTACTAGGTTCAGAGGAACACAGGAAAGGTGGCATGTTGCAGGAGTAGAGTGGATTATATCTAATTTGTTCAATCTAGTCACCATGACCTATCAACTTTCGTGTAGACTCGGGAAGAAATACCTTTGAATCAGACAGCTACACAACATAAATTAGATGTAATTCACATTATCTGCATACATCAGTGTAAATAACCAGAGGAAATTACTAGAAAAACCTTTAAGGATTCATCTGTGCAATTTGGTCAAGTCAAACGGGGCTATATTATTAGACTCCCATGTGGATGAATGGGATCCAGTGCTCATATGGCACATCTCGAGCCTTCGGTTCCTTCGCTGCAACGTGAAGAGCCTCTGCTGTATCACTTACCTGAGGCTTCCGGCCATCCCGAAACAGATGAGAGTAGAAAAACTCTGCAACAAGAGGTCCATCCTGATCATTCATGGACCAGAGTTCCAACAGCACTTTGAAAACCAGCAGCAATGAACCCTCCACCAAGATGGAAAGACTCATTAACGAGTTCAGCATCACCCATCGCTGTCTGGCATGCAGCAAGGAATACAAATTCAGCCTCAGACAGAGGCATCTGAAGAATTGTTTCCAGCTTCAGGCTGCCTTCATAGAGTAACAAGCGACTTTTGGTTGGCTCAACCAGGTCTTGTGTTCCGTGGCAGGCCAGATGAATCCAAGAGCAGTCCTGGAGTTGGAGCTTTACGGCCTGTGGAGTTGCTTGTTCACCTTCAAGAGATTGCAAAGTGTAATTGTTGATCACAGATGAATCATCTTGACTTCCTGCTCCACACCTTTCAGATAGTTTTTCCCAGTGTGGGTGACCCCGATGACTCCAAATTTGTGTGTATTGGAAGGGTATTTGTTCTGAGCCTCCAGCAGAGATCCCAGGGTTGCTGTATATGAATGGATAAATTTGTCTCTTGGAGGGCTTGCATGAAGGGGCAGTCCAGCAAAGGCCCCAGTAGGAAGCCACCATAACCTGCCTTGGCAGATGCCATACTGTACAAAGATTTGATATTAGACCTGACTGAATGAATCATTGGGACTTACAGATGCTAGAACTTGATATACTGGATCAACAACAATTTTCCAAAGCCAGGTTAATATCTCTTCAAAGCACTCCTTCGTTGTTTTGGATGCAAAGCCTTCTCGATGACCAAAAAGTCTAGTAGCAGCTGTTTCCGCTCGAGTTCTAACATTGCAGCGTTCCAATATCTCCTTGAGCATATTTCGCTGTAACAGTAGCTACTCAAGTGTTACACTTGGAAGTGAAACATGGATCAGCTCTGAGGCTGGGTTGATGATTATGATTCCATCACAACCCTTTGTATGACTGTTGAGAATCACCACAGGACCCCAATGTGCAGCCTGAGACAGTGTATTGTATGGTCTTGGGAGCATGGAATATTCAAGGCCTGGTTGCCTGCAAATATCATCTAGCAGATCTTTTCTTTGAGCAGCAACTTCCCTGGGATTACCGGCTGTCCCACTGTAAAGTTGCAATGAAAGTTGTTGGAGGTCTGCGGCCTGCTGTGGCAGCAGTTTGTCAGCATCTGGCTTTAGCTGCAGTATTTGCTGGAAGGTGGTTGCAAGACCCTGTTCCAGGATTTCAACTGCAGGTTTCAACTGTCCAAGTTCAGTGCAGAATTTTGTTGCTCTTGAAGTAATGGGTCCAATATCCAGCCTGCGGATAGCATCATGTCTCACAGGAATGGTATTTCCTATCCAAAGAATATCAGGGAGGATCTTAAATGCGGCCCGGTAGGCAGTAGGGACATTTGAGGGTTGAAATTCTTGTGAAGAGGATGCCCAGACCAAAGCTCCTCTCCAAGAAGATTCTGGATCATTTGAGGAAGAAGTGGTAAAAGAAAAGGCATAATAACAGTGTACATTCTCCAGGTCATAGTGGTCTCTCAACCTCATATAGCGGTCCGTGAGTGACAGTGCCAGGGCTTGTAGACGGTGTGCTCGAGCAGGATGATCTGGTGCTGTCAAATCCACCACTTCTAGCTTGGTTTTCACAGCTGTCTCAAGATCATTCAGGTCCCCTGACTGCTTATAGCGATCTCCAAAGGAAATTGCAAGACCTTGTAGATGTTCTGCTCTATTGGGGTGGTCCAATGGTGTGAAATCAACAGTTTCTTGGTATCTTTGTACAGCGGCCTCAAGATCCTTGATGTCTCTCAACCGCTGATACCGGTTTCCAAAACATGCTGCAAGACCTTGTAAATTCTCTGCTCTGTTGGGGTGGTTCAGTGGCATCAAATCTATGGCTTCCTGGTATCTCTGCATACTATTCTCAAGATCCTTCAGATCCCCCAACCGCTGATATCGATGTGCCAAAGACACTGCCAAGCTGTGTAAATACTGTGGCCTATCAAGGTGATCTACTGGAATCAAGGTCACAGCTTCTACAACACTTTTTAATGAAGCTGTGAGATCCCCTATGTCTCCTAATCTCTCATACCGATTTCCCAGGGATACTGTGACACCTCGCAAACGTTCTGCTCTGCTGGGATGGTCAGATGGTGTCTGATCCACCGCTTCCTGATATCTCTCAATAGAAGCCTCAAGATCTTTCAGATCCCCTAACCTTTGATACCGCTGACCAAAAGAAGCTGCAAGATCCAGCAGAAATTCCGGCCGATCAGGGTGGTCAGTTGCATTCAGGCCTAAAGCTTTTTGTTTTGTTTTGATAGCCACCTCGAGATCCTCAATTCTCCCAAGCCTCTGATACAAAATATCAAGTGATGTTGCAAGACCTCGCAGATATTCTGCTTTGTTGGGATGATCTGTGTCAAATTGTTTGGCTTCTGAATCTCTGCACAGCAGCCGCTAAATCTTGCAGGTCTCCAAATCTGTGATACCGATCTGCGAAGGACGTCGCAAGACATTTGAGACGCAGGGGCAATTCAGGATCATCCGCTGCGGTGAGATCCACTGCTTCCCGATCAAATTTCAATGCGGCTTCAAGATCCTTCAGTTCTCCAAAGCATGCATATTGATCTGTGAAAGAGGCTGTGAGGCCTTGCACACGCCCTGCCCTCTGGGGGTGGTCTGTTGGCGTGAGTTCTATAGCCTCTTGCTTCCTCTGCATTGCTACATCAAGATCTTCTATTTTTCCCAATCGCTGATACCGATCTGCAAAAGACAACCCAAGACTGTAGAGGTACTGTGACTTATTAGGATGGTCTGTCGGGATGAGATTGATGGCCTCGAGATCGCTTTCCAATGCAGCTTCAAGATCCTTCAGGTCTCCCAATCGGTGATACCGATCTGTAAAAGATATTGAAAGGCTTTCCAGAAGACCTGGCCGATCAGGGTGGTCTGCCGGTGCAAGCTTTACAGCTTCCAGATTGCACTGTACTGCAGCATCGAGACTCATGATCTCCTAGTTCCTGGTAATGAACAGTAAATGCCCAAGAAAGATCTTGCAGTCGTTGTGGTTTTGCTGGGGAGTATACCTCACCTTCGTCACTGTGTCACTTCGCTTAGGAACGGGAAAGTTCGTGAGTTTGATGGTAAATAGTGGATCCTCGTCACTTCGGTGATTCAGTACAAGTCCCTCTTCAACATTTTTTACAATATCCCTGGGACTAACCCTAACCAAACCGAACCCTATTACCCTAACCGACTAACCAAAACCCTAACCAAACCTAACCCCCCACGCAAAGTAAATACAGAGTTCCGCCCCTGCCGAGCTTCAGCCGTTGAAACGGTTGCTCAGGTTCAACGGTCAGAATAATGTAACTGCCAAAATCCCCCCTATCGAACGACTGAGTTACACCTAACTCACAAAGT